GGTTGTCCCGCGGCCGTCGTCATCCTCCACCCGGAACTTACCACGGGGGCTGTCATGCCAGCCCTCAGCCTGCTGCCGCTCTTCGGCAGCCCCGCGGGCCCGGGCGCCTTGGGTGGCTCCTTAGGCGGGGGGCCCTTGGGTGGCCCCGGGGGCAGAAAGGGGCCCGGCCCCAGCGGTGCGTTCCGCCTGACGGAAAAGTTCGTGCTGCTGCTCGTGTTCAGCGCCTTCATCACGCTTTGCTTCGGGGCCATCTTCTTCCTGCCGGACTCCCCCAAGCTGCTCAGCGGCGTCTTCTTCCACTCGACCACCCTCCAACAGCCGCCGCCGGTTCCGCCCGCGCAGGGCGATCCGCACGTCCCGCTGCCGGCGGGCGCGGGCAGTAGCAGCAGTTACGGGGCCGGCGCGGCGGAGGAAGCGGCGGAGAACTTGGCCAAGATCCGCGAGGATCACGAGCGCGCTTTGCGAGAGGCGAAAGAGACTCTGCAGAAGCTGCCCGACGAGATCCGCAGGGACATCCACCAGGAGAAGGTGAAGCTTCTCCTGCAGGACAAGTTGGGCCGGAGAGAGGCGGGGGGCCCCGGATTGCCCGACTTGCCTTTCCGCAAACCTATCGGGGCCATAGGAGCGGAACCGAGCGATCCCGCCGTCCAGAAGAAAAGAAAAAAGATCAAAGAGGTAACTACTGCAGGCACTCGAATATACAGCCCTTATGACTTATTTTCTCACGATCTCTCGAACAGCCGGTCATTTTTGTCTTTCTCCAAGTGTAGTTGGTTGGTTTATTGGCACTCTTACTAATACCCTTTCTTGATATCCGTGACCTTCATGACCTGCTTACCCCGCATGTTGTTTCCAAGTGATTTCGCAGCTATTGTGCTTGGGTGCGGTCCTGTGATGGGGACGTCTTTTGACGTGAGCAGAAACTTCTAATGGGGAATAGAGAGGACACGTGTCACTCTTGTAAAACCGACAACGTGGGCAGTCTTTTGAGAAAGCAAATTGTATCAGCCCTTATTTCTGAAGACCTTTTTCCAAAGCTGAAAGATGGCAACAGATTATAGTGATTTACTTTTAATCTCTACAATTTGGAAGCCACAGCTAGAGAAGGTGTAATAACGAGAATGGTATCAAAGCCAGAAGGAGGAAAGGAAACAAAATGTCTTGTGTTTTTGCTTTGATTATGGTATCAGACACAATTAGTGCCTGAAAATATGGGGGGCGGCGACAATACAATACAGTACAGTATGCTAAGCCAAAAGATACTTCTGTAATCAATTGTCACTCAAGATTTCAGTCCACAATAGTAAAATTTAATGGGTAATATGGGGAAAAAATACTAAAAAACATAACAGCTTTATAAACTAACTACATTTGCATACAAGTCTCTGAACCAAATTTGTTTAATATTTCAAGACAAAATTAAAGAACTTAAACATTAACTACATATTTTAAATTAACAGACTCATCCATAAGATATTAACTGGTGGATATTATTAACTGATATAAATATTGTTAAAAGTACTCTTTTTACAATTTTCTGGTATTATCCATTTTCTGGTATTATCCATTTTCTAATGCTATAAAGTATAGAGTATTGTCTGGGTCATACCTTGACATTCTTGAAAATCTTTCCCATGAACAGTATTTTCCTATTTGAAGTAAAGGAGGGGTGATACTGTTTGCTACTGTGAGTGAATTAGTATGCTGAGGAAACAATGGAAGAATGGTCTTTTAAACTGTTTATTGAGCATTATTCTGTATGGGTAACACAATCATGTCTGTTCAGTGAGATGGTACTAAAACTTTTAAAACTATAAAGAGTTTAAAAGTAGCCTTTATATGGAATATAACACCTGCACATAAAGCAAGTTATATAGGAAAGAATATGAAATGAACAGTAGGTGTATAAAGGTAAGAGTGATGAATAGAAGTTCTTTACTATGTCAGCTAGCCCAGTAAAGACAGTTTTATGGAAGATAAGCTAACTAGCTGCACTTGCAATAAGATCTGTGTAGCACAGTGTATTAACCAATATATTCCATCAAATGTTTGTCAGCTGTTAAAGTAGAAGAATTGGATGAAACTCTGGGAAGTTATATCTAGTATTAGAACAAATTGCTATGCAGAGTCTATAAAGCTGTGTCACTTGTAGAGATTCAGGGTATAGTGTGTTTGATCTCTGATTTATAAGATACCTGTTTCCTGAACTTTGGAGTAATAAATCTAATAAAAATGTTCTAAGGGTTGTATGTAACAGTAGTGATGGATTACATGCATGCCTGCTCATATTTTCAGGTTTTTCATTCAGGAAATTCAAGCTAGTTAATCTCTATAGCTGGTTACCCTTATGAGATTAAAACACTTATTAAATGAGAAAAGTTTCAAATAAAAACTGCTACTGCTATCAGTAACTGGCATAAAGAACCTAAAGAAAATCTGTACAGACCCCGGGAGGAATAAAAACATTTTAGATCAAATTAGAATATTGTGTTGCCACTTGAGGTGGTTCTTATGATCCTCTAACTGTGCATTGGAATAGATGAACATAAATACAGAGCTTGATCCATGTGATGTCATCTACTGCAGAACATTTTGCTTGTTCAACAAGTTCAAGATTTTGTCATGAAGCCTTTTGTTTTCTTGATACACTTTGTTTCCTTTGTAAGCATTCCTTCCGTTGGCAAAATGCAAATTGTATTCAAATAGTTGTCTAGCTTGGATTCTCTTTAAGCGTGATCTCATGCAAAATCCCGAATAAGTGAAGATAAAGATACCTTCAAGTCAACCTCAACTTTTGATAACTACATCCCTGCAGTTTTCTTGACTTTTGTGACAGTTTTAGGGAAGTAATTTGCACTGCTTTTGGGGGGCAGGTGTGTGGGGGGGGGTTTATACTCCAGAGCTGACAACAGTCCTAGAAGTCCCAGGTAGCCCCCTGGACTCTAAAAGTCTGTAAAATTTTCAGACCAGGGGGAAAAATACTTTCAAGCATCCTTTACCAATCTAAAATCACTTTGTTACAATATGATTGCTACCTGTGTAACAGTGAAAACTTGTTTTAATGGACTAATTGGGAAGAGGGTTTGTCCATTATTCCCCACAAGTCTGGTAAATTGAAAAGCACGTAATTACAGCAACCCAGATAACATCATTTCCTATTTATTTCTGCATGATAATGTCATTTGTGTAATGACATCATCACACCTTATGTCAAGCGCATAATGTCACTGCACAAAATGATGTAAACTGCTGCAGAATTTAATCCATTGCATTGATGTCTGGAAAGTTGAGATTTCAGTGATTTTGTCTTGCCAGTTTATCCTGTGTGTAGTTGATCTGTAGATTTAGTAGTATGGTTGGATAAGTGATTTTGCCAGAGCTGGATTATAAAGCATTCAGGTTATGAAAGGTCATCCTCACTTGTTTTTATATCTGATACTATATAAAGTTTTTCTCCCTGTGTAAACTGCTACTTTATTTGCATAAAGTTCTGGGATCTGTGTAGTATTCTGCAGACAAAAATATCTTATATTAAAATCTAGAACCAGGTATTTAGCTTTAGGACATTATGCATCTAAAGGGAGGACATTCTGTCAATAACCTTTCACCTTTTCATCACTGCAGTTTTTTTACAATTCAGTGGTAAAAGCAACTTTTTGCTAGATCTTCAATATATTTCACTGGTACTGCTTCCTACTGGTTTGGTTTTGTTTAATTTTTGGTAATTCCTCTTTGAAATGCATAGTACAAGCACTTTACAATCTTGAGTCTAATCATAATAAAATTATACCTACAGCCTTATTCTGCTCATGCAAACTTTGAAATCCTCACTGTGTTCAACAAAGCTTTTTATAAAGTATGCACTGAATGTAATTGAAGCAGAATATTTTAGAATACACTTCTTGAAGCATAGATAAATGGTGCTAGCGGGGACAACAAAATGTTCTTGAACATATATCCAAGAACATAATATGTGTTTTTGATGTGTAATCTTATCAAGATTGTTAACTTATTAAAGCTGAGAATGTTTTATCATAAAAGTAAAATAAAACTTAAACTTGCTTTCTAAAGGTTATAGTTTTGGCTACAGTTTTAAAAGATTGCTAATGCTATACATTTAATAGGGCTGTGCAGAACAACAAGGGACACTTAAGTCATGGCAAGACTGCAAGTGGAAGTGCTGCTCTTCAAAGTTTTGGGCAGATGTCTCTGCTTGAAAATTCAGTGCAGCCTTATGAGAGCCTTCCAGCCCAGGTTTTCTGTATATGTATAAATTTATCAAATAAATAACTCTGTGTGGGCACGCACCATAGATGTTGCTTCTGGGACTGCCAGTTACCCCCTGAAGTGAAGTGGCTCACTTCACCACCAATCCCCCCAATGATTTGTAGCATTTAGAATCTTTAAAAAGAAGCTAATTTAATCTTGACAAAATAATAGCAAAAGGAATTTGAAATCTAGTAACATAGTATTTTTAATTTCAAAACAGGATGTTCTATCATCAGACCAAAATGAATTCTACACGTTTTGACCTGATTTGATATTGTCATGTGATAAGTTAATTATATTTCCATTTGGCTAAGTCATCCCCAAAAACTCATTAAGAATAATGTAGAACACTTGACCCTACCTTTTAACTGTGTGAATCTCTAGAAATACAGTTGCCAGGAAAAATATAGTAGCATGGCATGAGATACTTCATCACTCTAGTGGTTCTTTGTTCTACCCAGTTATATATAATCATATACATAACTGGGTAGAACAAAGGACCACTAGAGTGATTGGTGTTTATTTTTGCATATGCATAGGTAGGATTAACTTTTCATTTCTTTCCTAATTAGCTATCCCTCACTTATCCTAGAAACATCTTGTATAGTGGCCTAGAATTATAGTACAGGGTTGCTGTTGTTGTTGCTTGTGCCTTCAGGTCATTGTTGACTCTTGGCCAGTGCCTGGACTAGTCCCTGCAGTTTTCTTGGCAAGATTTTTGGAAGTGGTTTGCCCTTGCCTTCTTCCTAGGGCTGAGAGAAAGTGACTGGCCCAAGGTCCCCCAGCTGGCTTCATGCCTGAGGCAGGACTAGAACTCAGGGTCTTCTGGTTTCTACCTTGGTGCCTTAATTGACTGGCTCTCATAATAGAGTTTAGGATGATGCTTTTTTAAGAGTTAGATAAAATAACTTCTAAACAACTTCTGTATTGAATCAAGCAGCCCTAAACCACCTAATTACTAGAAATAAAATATCACAAGATAATTGACTATGGCATAATATTTCATTGACTAAACTTCATCTGCAGACATGTAAGTATTTTCTAACATGTTTCTTTAGTTCTAACATGGCTAACTACTGAATAATTATTAAAATACAGCTTTCCCAGAACTGCTGTATAAAAAGAAGAGTTAGGCTTGCTTACATGGTTCTTGTTCTCCACCCATCTGCAGCTTTGAGAAATGCAGTACATGTATAAGTTTACAAGATTAAAAGTAAAATTTCAGCATTGTTATCACATAGCTAACATATCATAAACACATTTATAATGGTAATTCATCTATGAAATTTATATATTATGTATAATATTCAGACTCAAATTGCTAAAATAACTGTAATTTTCAAGTCTTGCTTAACTATAAAAGTTTACAGGAAAGGTTAAAGCTATAATAGAATATTTCAAAGTCA